GCCTAATGCATTCCATCCGTTAACTACTCTGACACTGAAAAGTTCCTTCTAACGTCTCTGTGGCTCATGTGGGTACTCAGTTTCCACCTGTGTCCCCTTGTTCGCGTCCCACCAGTGTTGAATAGTTTATCCTTGTTTACCCGGTCGATTCCTCTGAGGATTTTGTAGGTTGTGATCATGTCTCCCCTTACTCTTCTGTCTTCCAGTGTCGTAAGGTGCATTTCCCGCAGCCTTTCCTCGTAACTCATGCCTCTTAGTTCTGGGACTAGTCTAGTGGCATACCTTTGGACTTTTTTCAGCTTCGTCTTGTGCTTGACAAGGTACGGGCTCCATGCTGGGGCCGCATACTCCAGGATTGGTCTTACATATGTGGTGTACAAGATTCTGAATGATTCCTTACACAGGTTCCTGAACGCTGTTCTGATGTTAGCCAGCCTCGCATATGCCGCAGACGTTATTCTTTTTATGTGGGCTTCAGGAGACAGGTTTGGTGTGATATCAACTCCTAGATCTTTCTCTCTGTTCGTTTCATTAAGTACTTCATCTCCTATTCTGTATCCTGTGTTTGGCCTCCTATTTCCACCACCTAGTTTCATTACTTTGCATTTACTCGGGTTGAACTTCAACAGCCATTTGTTGGACCATTCACTCAGTCTGTCTAGGTCATCTTGTAGCCTCCTACTATCGTCCTCAGTTTCAATCCTCCTCATAATTTTTGCATCATCGGCAAACATTGAGAGAAACGATTCTATACCCTCTGGAAGATCATTTACATATATCAGAAACAGTATAGGTCCAAGGACTGACCCCTGCGGTACTCCACTCGTAACGTCTCGCCAATCTGAGACCTCACCCCTCACACTGACTCGTTGTCTCCTGTTACTTAGGTACTCCTGTATCCAACGGAGTACCTTCCCTTTCACTCCAGCCTGCATCTCCAGTTTTTTTCACTAGCCTCTTGTGTGGCACTGTGTCAAAGGCTTTCTGACAATCCAAAAATATGCAGTCTGCCCACCCTTCTCTTTCTTGCCTTATTTTTGTTGCCTGGTCGTAGAATTCAAGTAACCCTGTGAGGCAGGACCTGCCATCCCTGAATCCATGTTGATGCTGTGTTACAAAGTTCTTTCGCTCCAGGTGCTCCACTAGCTTTCTTCGCACAATCTTCTCCATCATCTTGCATGGTATGCAGGTTAGGGACACTGGTCTGTAATTCAGTGCCTCCTGTCTATCCCCTTTCTTGTATATCGTGACTACGTTAGCTGCTTTCCAAATTTCTGGCAGTTCCCCAGTTGCCAGTGATTTGTTATACACCATGGAGAGCGGGAGGCACAGTTCTTCTGCTCCTTCCTTTAGTATCCAAGGGGAGATTCCATCTGGGCCTATAGCCTTTGTCACATCCAATTCTAGTAAACACTTCCTTACTTCCCCGCTGGTAATTTCAAACTCTTCCAGTGGTTCCTGGTTAGCTATTCCCTCTCTTATCTCTGGGATTTCTCCTTGCTCTAAGGTGAAGACCTCTTGGAATTTCTTATTCAGTTCCTCACACATTTCCTTGTCGTTTGTAGTGAATCCTTCTGCCCCTAACCTTAATTTCATAACCTGTTCCTTTACTGTTGTTTTTCTCCTGATGTGGCTATGCAACAATTTAGGCTGAGTCTTTGCCTTGCTTGCGATGTCATTTTCGTATTGTCTTTCTGCCTCTCTTCTCATCCTAACATATTCATTCCTGGCCTTCTGGTATCTTTCTCTGCTCTCCAGTGTCCTGTTATTCCTATAGTTTCTCCATGCCCTTTTACTTTGCTGCTTAGCTAGCCTACATCTCTGATTAAACCATGGGTTTCTCATCTTCATTTCACTGTTTTCCTTTTGGACTGGGACAATATTACTGCTACTTCTATCCTTGGTCCTCCCATTGTCATGGTGCCTGCTATGTAGTCTATGTGTGTGTGTTTGTCACACAGCCTGCTATGTGTGTGTGTGTGTGTGTGTGTGTGTGTGTGTGTGTGTGTGTGTGTGGTGTGTGTGTGTGTGTGTGTGTGTGTGTGTGTGTGTGTGTGTGTGTGTGTGTGTGTGTGTGTGTGTGTGTGTGTGTGTGTGTGTGTGTGTGTGTGTGTGTGTGTGTGTGTGTGTGTGTGTGTGTGTGTGTGTGTGTGTGTGTGTGTGTGGTGTGTGTGTGTGTGTGTGTGTGTGTGTGTGTGTGTGTGTGTGTGTGTGTGTGTGTGTGTATGTGTGTGTGTGTATGTGTGTGTGTGTGTGTGTGTGTGTGTGTGTGTGTGTGTGTGTGTGTGTGTGTGTGTGTGGGTGTGTGTGTGTGTGTGTGTGTGTGTGTGTGTGTGTGTGTGTGTGTGTGTGTGTGTGTGTGTGTGTGTGTGTGTGTGTGTGTGTGTGTGTGTGTGTGTGTGTGTGTGGGTGTGTGTGTGTGGGTGTGTGGGTGTGTGTGTGTGTGTTTGTGTGTGTGTGTGTGTTTGTGTGTGTGTGTGTGTGTATGTGTGTGTGTGTGTGTGTGTGTGTGTGTGTGTGTGTGTGTGTGTATGTGTGTGTATTTACCTAATTGTTCTTGCGGGGGTTGAGCTCAGCTCTTTCGGCCCGCCTCTCAACTGTCAATCAACCAACTGTAACTAACTACTAACTAACTAATTTATTATTTTTTTCCACACTAACACACACACCCAGGAATATCAAACCAGATACAGGAGCCAGGGAAATTAATTCAGCCATGAAAACGTCATTAAACGTGACTGAGGAGAAGTTAAGCAGTGGGTGAGCATCTTTAAGGAAACGTGAAAAATATGTCGACAGTAAGCAACGTGATGTGGGCAGAGGTCTTAAGATGTCACTTATGTTGTGAGGGTCAGAAGAGAAAGACGTTCATCGTCGCTGCAGAAGAAGGATATTTCTGCCTTATGAAGAAGAATTTGTGAGAAGCTGCGCGAGTAACGTGTGAGGAAGTTATTGGAGGATAATTTGTGACTTATCTCTTGAATAGTGGCAACGATATAGGGGCGATGTGAAGCCCTGAGGACCCACGGTGTGTGAATCCTTCAAGAGGATCATTTGGGCAGGTGTTCCTGATTGGCACCTGTTCTGTGACCATTCACGGAACAGTCCTGAAGTCAGGACTGGAAGGAGCGGATTAGTGGCAGTCCAAGAGTAATCTGTGTGCAACCTGGCAGAGCGCCATATGTGGGAGTGGTGGACAAGCGTTGTCATGTACACCTTTCGGGGTAAGAACCTGATATACTGTCTTGTATGGCTTGTTGTAGCAAGATCGTGTGCCCAGCGATCTTGTAGAACGTTCGTGAATGTAGATTAGAATATTTGTGGAAATAATGAGATGATATAATGAGTTTGAAGCGAGTTAGCCTTAGGAAGGTGGGAGCGACATATACTCACACGGCCGAGGTCAGTGGACAACTGAGGGAAGGGAGCCCCAGGTGGAAGGAAATTTCTCTATGGACTCGCCCAGGCAGGGGAGGACCCCCGCAGTACAGACCGACGTGCGGAATAGGACAGTGTAAGGTGAAATTTGTTTAATAAATGCTATTTGTGTTTTGATAGATTATTTTACTTTGTGGTAATGGAATTACAGGTTTATGTATGGTGGACATTCATGAATGATGGACGTGGTGCACCCAGAGTTGATGTAGCAGTGGTACATGGTGGACACGATTTGTCATTAAGTGATGTAGCAGCGATATAGAAGCAGGAAGAGGATCTGCTTAATTCGAGGACCCACTGATGGATGGTCCCAGTAGTGATTCCCAGGAAGATCAATCACCGTAGAGAAGACGTTGTGTTATGAGAGTAGCTGATCTTCCAGAGGAGATAAAGAGGGTTGTGTATGCATCAGTATATGTTTGAGTGGTGGAAGAAATCATGCAGTATGCCTGACAGTTCAAGGTGAGAGCGTTAAGGTTTTTTGATGATGTTAAATTTCATGTAAAAAGCCTAGCCCAGATGGCGAGGTGACTGAGGCACAGAGGGTTGATGAAGAGGAGCAGGCAGCAGCCTAGCAGAGACAATCACATGGTGTATTGTTCATAGGGATTGTATGTTACACAAGCGTGTTTGACCTTGTCTTCGTGAGGATTTCTAAGAGGAAAGAGAGGGAGAGAGATAGTTGCAGGCCGGACAACAGAAAACAATAAGAGGAACTAGTATTAGGTCAGACTAAGACAAGGAGAGAGAGAGAGGGTAAGTTAGGGTGTGTACTCATGACAACGGCCCAGTTCTGAGGCGAATCCCCAATAGTATGACGTTGAGCCTCTTCTCCATAGTTAAGTTCATTACCGGGTGACTTTCCGGTGAGCTCCGCTGGTGTTAATAGTAGAGGTGGTGGAAAGCTTTGTAAAAGAGAAAATTTTATGTGTTTGATTTTATCAGTGGCGTCCTGTGAGGTGAAAGCTCAGAGTAAAATTGGATGACACCTGAGAGTGATAGTTAAGGGACCCCTGATACTACACAGGTTGGTCCACGTAACCTTGAGACAACCCTACACCTCCCCACGATCCCCCCCCCCCCATCTCTCTTCTCTGGCACTGAACATGATCTCTTATATGCAGCTGAAGGCGGCGTGTGAGGTCTTCGCTGCCTGTTGATGTGGAAGAGGTAATCCTCGTGGATCAGCGTGACGTCATGGTATCTGACAACCTGGTGACCTCACCACCGTTGACCCGAGTTGACCTGACCCTTGGTTACCTCCTCTCAGGTGTGAATATTTCGTTGTATTGTGCTGCCTTTCTGGCGCCGCGCCCCTGTGGCTGTTGTTATGGTGTTCTGCCTCGTACCGCTCTCTTGCTGCGACGGAGAGACGGCAGGACAGGCTGTTTCGTTGTTGCTTAAGATTCGCTACCTGGAACAAAAAAGTTCCAAGTAGCACGGGCTATGGTGAACCCGTAGTGGAGTCCTTGACAGGCTGCAGATATTGCATGATGTAGTTTGTGATAAAGCTGTAGGATATGTAATGTGATGATCATGGTGTAAATCACGGCTGTGGCAAG